CTCCCTCAAGGCTAAGGCAGGAAGAAGCATCCTCCTGGAGGCCTGGGTTGGCCCCTGGGGCTTGGAGTGGCCACATGCCACTAGGCAGAGCTGACCCCACACCTGGCTCAGGGCCTTCCCACGGAAGGAACCATGTCTACCGACCACCAAGGCCCCTGGCCTGACATGAGTTAGTCCCAGCCCACCAGGCTGGGTGTGTCATCTAGCTGCTTTCTCATGTTCTTTAGACAGTGTGGCTCTGGCCAGCCTGGCACACCTGTGAGCCCCTGATACCCGGATTAAGACCTGGACTACAGCCTTGCTTTGAGGTGGAGACAACTTGAGTAATCATTTTCCAAAGATACCTTTTGTTTTGGCTTGGGTTCTTGGGTGTTGGTTTGCTTATATTTTGTTGTAGTTTGTTTTGGGTGTTTTGTTTTTTGAGGCAGGATCTCACTCCACAGCATAGGTCAGACTTGACCTCATGCTCCCCTTACCCCAGACTCCCAAGTACTGAGATGAAAGGCACTGTGTTATCATGTGCAGCCTGAAAATCTATGGCCTGTGGATGCATGCATGCATACATGCATGAAAGAGAGAGACGGAGAGAGAACAATTTCAGGTGTCCTTCCTCAGGAGACATTCACCTTGCTTATTGAGGCAGAGTCTGTTTCTGGAATTTGGAGCCCACTAATTCAGCGAGCCCCGGGATCTGCCTCCCCCAAGCCGGGGTTACAGGTGTACACCACCACGCCTAGCTTTTTTCATGTTTGCTAGAGATCAGAGCCATGTCTTCAGGCTTGTGTAGCAAACACTTTATCAGGTGAACCATCTCTGTAATACAAAAGCTACCTTTCCTCCTCCATGTATCTCCTGCATGGGGTTTTGCTTTGAGCCACATCAAAATCTGTATTTTTAAATTTAATTTTTTGATGCTTAAAATGAAATTTCTTCTGGGCAGAATGGCTCAGTGGCCTCAGCCTACTGAATGCCTCTGAGGCCCAGTGGACCCGGAATACTCCAAGTTCTGGTGAGTTGCTCTGGCCAGTCTCCCACCCTCTTTGGGTGGCCCCATTGCCCTCTCTCCTTTGCTGGGTCTTGGTGTTTTCAGCAGGGTAAGGGCTGGAATGTCCTGGAGTAGTGTGTGGTAGAGTTTGCCACTGTCAGGCTGATTTCCCCCATGCTCAGTATCCCAGCCACTGAAACCTTTGTTAAGAGTAAATGCAAAGAAAGACTGGGTCCCAAGTTTCAGATCCACTTGCTCATAGGACTTGGGACCTTTATGGTCAGGAAGTAGGATGGTCCAAGGTATGGGGAACAAAGACTGGAAGCAAAGTGATCTGCACGTGCACAAAATGTACAGCTCTTCAGGGTCAGAAAGTGGGGCATTAGTGAGGAAAGTTTCAGCTTCTTGAGGTGAAATGCTCATTCCATGGACCTATGGAGACTCAGCTGAAGAACAGTGGTTCTATGCAGAAATGACCTTCAGTTTCCTGAATAGTGGCCTAGACATACTTTTCATGGCCCACTCATCAGCGGTTTCAGCCTAGCAAAAAGTGGGGAACTGATAATATACAGCTCAGCTGTGTGACCTTCACAATTGGTAACTTCTAAAGAAAACTAAAAGTAAGTGCCTAGGGAGGGCGTGGAGGCTCAGCCAGAGCAGGGAATGGTACCTGCCTCAGTGTTTGCTGGCTGCTGATTATCAAAGCCAGGTTATCCTCCATGGCGTCTTGGAAGTGAAGGTCATAATCTCTGGATGCTGTATTCTAGGAATGTATCAGGTCCTGGAGTGCTGCCTAGGGTAGCTGTCTTTGGCTACTCTGTGGGTTCTTCTTTCTTCCACCTTTCTCCACTCTCATCTTCCTAACACTTGATAGGAAAGGAAAAAAAGGACAAAGGGGAAAGGAAAGAAATCCCTGAATAAAGTCAGGGATTGGAAAGGGAGTGTGTTATTGTTAGACTGCTTTCTGCTGATTAGGGATGTTGAGTTCCTTGGGGCAAGTTTGATCTTCGCCGTCAGGATATCTAGTTTCTTCTTGTTGTTTCCACGACCAATAGCAACCAACAAGCTACCAGGCCTCTTGGGACCCTAGGATTTATGTACCCTCTGAAAAGTCTCCACAATTCCAAAAGTCACACACTTGCAGACAGTATCTGCATCAGGCAAAATCATGCCTCTGCTAAAGCATGGGGCAAATCATAGTCATCTGCTGTGGTCAGTCTGAAGCAGCCTCACATCCTACACCTGGGTTTAAAACAAACATGTATTCTTAATATTTCTGTGTTTTTAAAAGAAATAAAAATTCTAGACGACTTGCCACAGCCTAGGGCTGCAGAAGATCCATACAACTGCAAAGCCCTTCTCATGGCAAAAGCCTAGCAGGTGGCAGTGGATCAAGGAAGAGCTTCATTTTCTTAAAAGATTTGTCTCTAATTTATGTTCACATGTGCATAACGGTGCCTGTGGAGGCCAAAAGAGAGTGGCAAACTCCCTGGCCCTGGAATTCCAGGAGGCTGTGAGCCACCTGACATGGGATGTGGGAACTAAACTTGGTCTTAACCTCTGAGCTGTCCCAGGGCCCAGACAGGGCTCTATTTTCATGTTTTAGTTTAAGGGACAATCATGGGCAGGATTTGGTTGAGCTAAGGGTGGACAGGAGGAGGTGAATGAGGTGGAGGAGAGAGAAAAAAGGAAGCTAGGACACCCCTGGTGTGCTTGGATAGATGGTGGACCTTCTGACTGACTGGTTCTTTCCTACAATCTGGTTCCTTCTTTCCTCAACAGCTCACCCAGCAGTAAACAAATCTGTCCACTGAGAAGGTGGCTGGTGTGGGGGTGAAGGAGGAGAGGGGGGGTGGGCAGGGATGGGAGGCAAGGTAGGCAGCCCCGAGGGGCTAGACACTTCCTTAGAACAGCTGAGTCACTTGTGCTGTGGCTCATTCTGTCCGATGCCACAGCAGCACCAGGGCTGGATGGGAGTCTCTGGCCTTCAGCCGGTGCTGTGGGGTCTCTAGATCTGAAGACCTGGCTACAGGCTATCTTGCTGCCTTTCGTGTCCTCCAGCATGGCTGGTGTAAGTCTGGTTTGGTTTTCCTTTTCTACTCTGGGACTTAGGAGACAGAAAGATCCCCTAGAGAGTCAGGACTGAGTGCAGTGTGTGTGTGTGTGTGTGTGTGCGTGTGTGTGTGTGTGTGTGTGTGTGTACATAGACCCCGTTAGCCCTCCCTGCATGTTTTCCTGAGAGGCACAGTGGAGAAACAGGCCTCTGAGGGGCTAGTTTGTAGTATGTCCCCAGGCAAGCCTTTCCTTTGTCTGGAGCTTAGTTTCTTAAGAGCTGAAGGGCACTGGACAGATCTGTCACAGTTCTGGGGTCTGGGGTTTTGTGGCCTGGTTTACATTCAGCTCAGTGACCCCATGGGGTGCTCAGGGTAGGGGTCTGCGGCTTCTGACTCACTTTTTTCCCCATGCTGCTACAGGATTTGACTTGGGAGTCCTTGGAGAGGGCAGAGGACAGGTAGGGGAAGCTGTGATCTTAGCTCAGAAGCAAGTGGCTGCCCTTGAAGGACATAAAATAACAACAACAACAATAATAATAATGGAGTCTGGTTCAGGCACAACCTAGACTTGGGGGTAGGGGTCAGGAGTGGGAGATGCCTGCCCCAAATGGGTCTGTAGCAGGTTTCAGGGGCAACTCTGGAAGGCTGGGGTCTCAGATAGCCAGCCTAGATCCACATCTCAATGGCCTGTGGGCAGTGGTTCTGGCCTGGCCCTCTGCAAGGCTGCTCAAAGAAGGGGATGTGAGCCTGGGGGCTGACGTGAGCCTGGAGGCTGACTCAAGCCTAGGGGCTGATGTGAGCCTGGAGGCTGACATGAGCTTGGGGGCCGACGTGAGCCTGGGGGCTGCAATCTTACAGAGTCCAACACCTCCAGTTGGCTGAGGGATGTGTGGAAGGGTCCCATTTATGTCCTCTGTATTCTGCCCCAGTCTGATTCCCTGTAGACCTTGAAGCAAGCCAAGTGCCCTGCAGGGAGCTCCCTGGAGGTGGAACCCAGGGCTTCTTGTGAGCTAGGCTATCACCCGACCCCTAAGCCATGCCCTCAGCCCTTTTCTTGACTTCAGCCATGCTCCACACACATTCATAATCTGAGGGATGTGTGGGCACAGGCAGGGATCAGGTTGAGGATCGGTGGTCCCGGGAGAGACTCACTGGCCTCTGACAGGCTCTGTGGGTGGGTGTGGAAGGTGTACTTGGGGAAGCTGGGGTTCCTTTTGGTCGCTGGGGCTTTGAGAGGATCTGAGGAAGGGAGAGGACACACCCGGTAGGGGCCAGATCTCCCCTGTCCACCCAGAGTTAGAGGTCTGATGAACCTGAGGCTGCGGTGAGGTAGACACGCCCCACAGCCTGGAGCCAGCCACACACAGGGCCCGGGAGAGCTGCGGCGGGGGGCCTAGGTGTGCCCCGTGGCGGGGACGCCCTTGAACTCTCCCTCTGTCCTCCGGTTGCCCACACTGGCCGCACAGACATCCTCAGAACCTGCTAGTGGGAGACACGGAAGTCAGGTTGGTAGGGGGCACCTGGCCTGTCTTGGCAAAGCCTACACACAAGATCGGCTGCTTCCCAGAATTCCCACAGATGCCCTTTCACCCCAGTTAAGAGACGACTGGGGGGTCACAGCTAGGGGTGCAGCAGAACTTGAGCCAGGCAGCTGGTTCTGCCACCAGCCACCATTGTTGCCTCCTGAACCTGCTTCCTCCCTCAGGGGAAGTCCTAATGTCATAAGGGTGTGAGCCACACCAGTCCAAGAGAGGGGTTCTGGGGTCCCGCTGTCCCCATGGAGCGGCAGAGGGGCCTTTCTCATCCATCCACTGTCTTAGACTCTTGAGGGCCCCACCCTGGCAGCTGTGGTTCTGGAACCTCCATCCCGGGGTGGTGCCGAGCCCCACTCTGTAAACAGGGACAAGGAGGCCGGGGAAAGGGGCTGCTCTCCGGGCTCTCACGAACGTGCTGTGCTCCAGTGCAGGGACTTCACGGCGCACACAGGGTACGAGGTTCTGCTGCAGCGGCTGCTGGATGGCAGGAAGATGTGCAAGGATGTGGAGGAGCTGCTCAGGCAGAGGTAAGCAGGGCCGGGCCAGGCCGGGCACTTAGGGCAGAGGGGGAGGGAGTCGTTACGTTCCCTAGAGCCCGGATGCCATCAGTATGCGCCTGTTTTCAAAAGTCAGGTGCTGAAGTTGAGCAGTTATGGGGACATGAGTTCAAATCCCGTTCTATAGCGAGAGGGGATGCAGTGTCAGGAGAACCCCCAGAAGCTCATGGGCCAGGACCCTAGCAAATGGTCAGCACACATACACATTCTCTCTCTCTCTCTCTCTCTCTCTCTCTCTCACACACACACACACACACCCAGAGATCTCTGTTGTCTCCAGTGGCCCCTGGGGCTGGGCCTCCCCCAGGGGCGTCCAGCGCTCAGGACAGGACAGTTTTCAGCTGACACTTCCCCCCAGGAGAGAGAGCTCACCCTATTCAGTAGGCGTCTTGCCAGCAAAGTGTGATGAGAGAGCTTGGGTTCTGCGTGTTGGGGGGCCGCGGCTGACCTCGGTGAAAGGGGCAGCGCTCGCTCTGCCGTTACAGGGCCCAGGCGGAGGAGAGGTACGGGAAGGAGCTGGTGCAGATCGCCCGCAAGGCCGGCGGCCAGACGGAGATCAAGTAAGGTGGCGCCCTCCTCTCCCGACGCACCTTCCGGGCCTCCCCGGGGCTTGGGCCTTTCTGCTGGGGTAGCCTGGCCGGGCGTCCGCCCCCTGCCGGTCCTCCGGCATTGCGCTCCGGGCAGCCTGGGAATGGAAAGGCGGCGCACGGTCTCCGCGCACCGCGGAATGGTCGTGGGGTCGTCGAGGCCCTGGGCCAGCCTTGCTTCTTTCTTCCGAAGGCTGGAGGGACCGTGGCCACCGGCCTCGTTTTGTCGCCCCCTGTCTGACCCCACGCCCGTCTGGGAGGGGATAGCTTGCGCGGGGTCTGCGCAGGCGCGCCCGCCCCTCCACGCCGCAGACAGACTCGCCGCTGCCCGCTTAGACGCGCGCTGTCTGAGCGGTGCCTTCCCGCCGTCCCCGAGCCCAGCGCTGACGCCACGGGAAGCTGCCCGGGGCGCCCCGGGGCCAGCAGAGCCACAGAGAGGACAGACCAGAGCAGGCCTGGGTTGGGGCAGAGCTCCGGGCTGACTGGGGGCCCGTGGGGAGCAGAGGGCATCCCCACCGAGACCGTTTGTAGCGCCCTGGCGCAGTGGGGGAGCCGACCCCGTCCCTTCCAGCTGTGCCCCCTTCAGGTCCCGCTGAGCCCTGCACAGGGCACATTCAGAAAGAGCTGTGGTACCTTAACTGTGGACCTAGCATTTGTCATCTGGCCTGGACTTTCGAGAACTCAAATTACTGAGAGGATCACCTGCTTTTCTTTAGCACTTTGTAGAAGACCCTCCCCGTGGGCACCTCCTCCGAGAGGCCCTCCAGGATTGTCTCACTGTCAAGCGCATGGTTCAGACAGGCTCACCCCATCATTCCAACCTGGAGGGCTCTTGGTAGTGTTGCCAGTCTTGGGGAAGGGGGTCTAGATGAGGTTCGTTTGCTCTTGGCAGTTAAGGAATGAAAAAGGCAGGAGGAATCTGGACCGCACTCAGCTATGGCAGACAGAATCAACCGCTTTTGTTTTTAAGGTGTACGCATGAAAGGCAAACAGAAAGGACCCTGCAAAGCAGAGGAGGTGCTGAGGACCCGTGAGGCCAGCCTCTCGCCAGGCTGGGGCCTCGGGGGCCTTTGTAGGGTCAGCGTAAGCATAAATGAGAGGAAGTTTTAGTTGGAGACTGAGTCTCCCGCGCCCGGGCCCTGAATGCCTCAGCTCGGCATCGCAGGGGCCTTTGTGTCACGGTCCATGCAGCAGGGCCAGCCTCACGGTCTTGGCTCTGCAGTCTGGCCACCGCCGCCCTTCCTTGCTCTCTGCCCACCCCGTCTGGTCCTCTGGGTCTGCCCAAACCTCACCTTACCCAGGAAGCAGTTGCCTCCTCCCCCTCTTCCTCGTGCTGCCCCAAGAGGGTGCTGCAGGTGCCTTAGAGGGTGGAGTGGGGCTGGGCTGCTGCCCCGTGAACCCCTCTGTGGTACCTCGGCACCTCAGTGCCCACCTCACCGTCACCCTTCTGAGATGCTGAGGTTCTCCTGTCAGAGGAGATTTGTGTGTGTGTGATGATTTCTGCTCCACTGAGCTCAGGATGAAGATGTCACTGAGGGTGGTGGCAACTCTGATCTCCTACCCAGAACCAGCTGCCCATAGAATCACCCTAACCCGGTACCCACTGCCCATAGGCTCATCCCAACCCAGTACCAGCTGCCCACAGGCACAAGGCCTGCTTCCAACTGGGAGATAGCAGCTTCCTGGCTGCCAGATGGCTACGAGTTGGGGATGCTAAGATGGGAGTGGAGACTTACCGTGGTGCACGCTCTCTGAGCTGGGAACACTTACACTGTGACACTAGACTTGAGCTAGATTTTCCGAGTCTCCTGAGAACCAAGCCAAAGGGCCCACAGGCTGTGTTGTACCTGGAGACATGTGGTAGATGGCAAAACTCAGAACCATCCTAACCCCTGCCCACGCTAGAGAAGGCGGGTCCGCAGGAGGGAGAGCCTTCCTCCGCAAGGCTAGCCTTGATGCGTTATCTTCAAGATCTGTTACAAGTATGTTTGTATGTCTGGGGAGGGGGTGCAGGTGCCCAGGAGGCCAGTGGTGACTCCTAGAGCTGGAGTCACAGGCTGTGAGCAGCCCGATGTTGGTGCTTGGAACCAAACTTGGGTCATCTACAAGAGCAGAATGTGCTCCCAGCCCCTGAGCCATTGTTCCGGCCCTTGGCCCTGAGATTTTGCCTTTTACCATCAGCATGGCTGTGGGCTGTGGGGCGTTTTTTTGTTTGTTTGTTTGTTTTGTTTTGTTTTGTCTGTCTGTCTGGTTTGCCTCTCTGACCCTCACCCTCAGTTTTCTTATCTGTAACTGGCAATAATGCCTTGTGGGATTGGGGTGGGAATCATTCAAGCTAGCCGTTCTCATACTGAGTGTGTTAGCAGCCCCTGGAAGGTAAAGCCTAAGAGGTCAGTGGCAGAGGCCTGCACATCTGCCGGCTCCCAGGCTGCTGCTCCTCTGTGGCCTGGCAGTAACGAGGACCCCATAAACATCCTTCAGGCCTGGTCCCCAGGAGACCTGTCAGGTTGCTACTCCTCCTTGACCTCAGTTTCCCCAAGTGTCCAAGGAGAAGAGGAAGCCTCTATGAAACGTATTTGTCCTACTGCAAGGCACATGCAGGTGGGCTTCCCTGAAAGGACACCCACGGAAGTAGCTGAGATGGGCGCCGTGTGGCCATTTTACCACAAGGGGGCGGAAGAGCACCTGCAGAGAGGCCGTGAAAGCCGGCCACAAAGAGCTACTTGGCTGCTGTCTTGGACCCAAGTGATCCTGGCCATAGTCTGGCCTCAGTTTCCACACCTACCTCAACGATTGGTTCCTCGGGCATCCTGTTGAGGAGGAAGCCGCTGCATTTTTATTTCCTCAAGGGCTACAGGTGGTGCCCAAAGACCTTGGGGGAAGCTGTGTCACCATGCGCTTGTTTTTGAGTCCTTAGGGGTTCCAGTCCCCTTAAACCCAAGCTGCAAGCACAAAGACAACTCCCCCCCCCCCCCCCCCCCCCCCGCCTGATGTGAATCTGCGCACCCAGTTGCGGGAGGGACTCTGGGGAAAGCTCAAGCTGAGCGGCCAGGAAGAGGCTCTTCCTACCTGAGGTCAAGGCAGCAGATTCTGCGAAGGGGCCACTGGAAAAATCTTAGAAGTGGCAGCTTGGGTTAGCGGAGGACCAGGCAGACTGCTGGTGCCTGAGGCTGTCCAGGAGGGCAGCAGATTTGCACATGTTTGAGTGTGACAGGCGGGTAAGGCCTTGCACGAGCCCTCCGTAGTGCCTTACACCCGACTCTCCTTCTCACAAGCATTCTGCGCTGCTAAGGGCTCTCTATAGAAAGGAAGTCAAGACAGGGCCAGGCTTTTGCCTAGGGTGGCACAGTTAGTGAGTGGCAGAGCCTGGCCATGTGGCTCCGGGGTCTGCTGCTGCTTCGTGTGGAAACCGGAGCAACAGGCCCCCGCCGGGTTCCTGGGCTGGTTTCCACACTACCTTCCCCCCTCATAGCTCAGGACTCTGAGCTCCATTCTGAACCTCTCGCACGGTTCTTGTGTCTGCCCAGGACTCCTGTGCCCACCAGTAAACAGCAGTGCAGGCACTTCGGCTCCGCCCCCTGCACCACCATGCTCTGGGGCTGCCAGGGAGAATGCAGAGCACTTGGTTCTGCTGCTTCCCGATATACAGCGAGGGCTTTTTAGTCTCATGTGCTCATCATGTGTTACTCCTGGCACGCCTACACTCAGGAAACATCCAAAACAAGGTTCAAGTAAAATGGGCCCAGTAGAGATTTCTGTGAGAAGCAGGTGGGAGCGTTTGAGACAAGATGCTTCCTGTGTAGTACCTCCGGATGGCCTTGAACTTGTGGCCTGTCTGCCTCTGCTGCCTGGGTGCCGAGGTTCCAGGCTGGGCCACTCCACACTTGCCCAGGTGCTTCCGCCTGCCCCCCAGCACTGTTCCTGCTCCCCTGCCTTGCACAGCCTCTTCTTTTCCCTCCCCTAGGTGCTCCCACCCAACCCCAGCAGTCAGCTGCTTTAGCTTGCCCTGCCCACCCACCCTCTCCACAGGCCTTTCAGGCCACCTGCTGGAAGGCCTTCCCTGGCATCAGACTCATGCAGGCAGCACCAGATGCCTGCACCGGAGGCAGGAAGCTCTCTGTAGCCAGGCCCCTCCTCTCCAGGCTGCAAACAGAAGCCGGGAGTGAGGGAATGGAGGGCAGAGCTGCCATAGTAGTAAGGTTTTCCTACCACAGCAAAGTTTGATTGATCTGTAATCTGCAAAGGAAAGTGTTTTCTAGAATACCAGTTTGTGGTTCCCATGAACAATGACCATGGCCAAAGGCTCCCTTGCATCCAGACTAATGTGTACGGATTAGGGCCCTCCCTCCAAAATAAGAGAGCCACGGGTCGGCAGGGCTTCCGGTTCTTGCAATGCCTGCCCGCTGACCTCCACTTCTGCTTTGCAGTTCCCTGAGGACCTCCTTTGACTCCCTGAAGCAGCGTAAGTTCCAATCATCCACCTGGGCAGCAGGGCCACGGGCTTTCCTGGGGAACCCTCAGCCCTCACAGGGGTGTCTGGGTTCCAGTTACTCGTGCACTTGGGCTATGGTCCAGCTCTGTACCAGGTTGAAAGGCTGGTGGAGGAGGCGAGGGGCGGGAGGTGAAATGTGAGGGTGCCAGACTGGTCCAGGCAGGGGCCATATTGTCTCCCTAGAAACGGAGAACGTGGGCAGTGCACACATCCAGTTGGCCCTGGCCCTGCGTGAGGAGCTTCGGAGCCTGGAGGAGTTCCGGGAGAGGCAGAAAGAGCAGCGGAAGAAGGTGAGGGGGCAGGGAAGATGGTGGCTGAGGTCGCCCACTGTTCTGGGGCCCAGTTGGGAAGCATGGCTTAATGGAAGGGAGGTGTGTTCTAGTTTGCTTTCCTGATGCTGTGACAGACCACTGACGTGGGAAGAAAGAGCGATAGATGGCAGAGGGTCAGGGACAGCACCAGGTGTCCAGAGGAGCCAACCTGAGTGGAGTGGCCCTGGAAGCTGGTTTTGAACACGAGGATTAGGATTGTTGGTTCCGAAGGGACATGGCTGGCCATACACAGAGTGGCTATATGGCAAGGCAGTGGCCTCCTCCTCACGAGCAGTGTGTTAGCACAGGCTGGGGGTGCTCAGCATGGAGGCTGCCAGGCTTGTGGTAGGGCACTTCTATCCCAAGCCTGTGACTGACTGGCTCACCCGAAGGGTAAGAGGCTACCACTGGGGCCAGGCAGCACCTGGGGATCCAGGGAAGGTCTTTCCCCTCCCTGTGACTTGGTTTCTCTCTCGTATGAGATACCATTATTTACATCTCTTGCCTTGACCCTTCACAAACAGGGCAGAAAGGGGTGTGTTCACGGTACACACCTCTGGCTGTTTATCAGGACAGCCTCGAGCTTACGGAAATCTAAATTGCCTTCCTGAGCAGATGAGCCCATGAGCAGAGGGACACAGTGTCCTCGGCCAGCCAGGAACGCGTGCAGATTCCCGTGACTGCCGTTGCCTCTGTGGCTTGCCAGAGCCTCACCAGGACTCCAGGGCACAAACTGGCTCCAGTCCTAAAGCCAGAGGCATTTTACTTCTGCCCACCTGCCAGCTTCTGCTCTGGCTGTTCCACTCCCTCCACCTACCAGGAAGCCCGGGGGTGAAGGCTGTGCCGTATGCACGCGTATGTGGATGCCTGGCCTGTTGTCATGAATGGGTGAACATGAGCGCGGTGACGCATGCGCGGCCTGGGGGTGTGCAGAGAAGGGCTGTGTGCAGTCTAAGCAGTTGGGAGATGGGGCGGAGGACGGACTGTGTGCGTGTAGATCCCGGTGTACGCTGTGAGCAAGTGATGGCTTGTGAATAGGACTTGGGACTCATGTGAGTGTATGTATGTGTAGGTGAGGAGTCACGCTAAGGTCCACAGGAAGAAAACACTAGGCGTACCACTGCCTCAGCTCTTTGTTATTCTGTGTCGGCATTGCACTTTTGTTTGTTTGAGACAGGGCCTCACTGTATAGCCTTGGCTGGCCTCACGCTCACAGGGATCCTCCTGCTTCAGCCTCCCAAGTGCTGGGATTAAATACCTGGCTGGTATTGTTTTGAAGGCAGTATCTCTAGGAGAGGGTGGACACAGACACGTCTGAACGTGAGCTTGGAGGGGTTTTATGGCTCAGGGACAAGGCCAATCCATCCTCTTGGCCTAGGGGAGCGTCTTGAGGCCAGAGCCCCCAGCTCAGAGCCTCGTGTCTCCTGCAGTATGAGGCTGTCATGGACCGTGTCCAGAAGAACAAGCTGTCCCTCTACAAGAAGACCACGGAGGTAAATGAAGGGCCTCGGAGGCCCCTGGGACGGAGGGCCAGACCCATACCTACTAGCTCACAAGTGACCCACACTGTCAGCTGAGGAGTCCGGAAGTAGCAGGGAGGAGAGACGCCTGAGAGGGCACAGGAGTCTGGAAGACAGGGCCCAAAGTCTCTATGGGAACAGCCTGGCATCTGTCCCTGGGAGAGGTGCTTGTTCCACTAACGCCCCCACGGGGAGGGAATCTGGGCTTAGGGAGTCTCGGCCTGGGGCACGCAGCCTCCCAGACACACCTCTCCACACCCTCAGTCCAAGAAGGCGTATGACCAGAAGTGCAGGGACGCGGATGATGCCGAGCAGGCCTTCGAGCGTGTGAGTGCCAACGGCCACCAGAAGCAAGTAGAGAAGGTGTGTATGGCGTGGGAGCGAAGCAGGGCGGGTGGGTATGCAGGAAAGGGCTTGCCATCTCTGGGCTGAATTTGCATCTGGGACCACGCGGGCTGCTCACCTTTTTTTCAGTTCTCTACTCTATGCAATGGGCGTCCTCGAGGACCATTCTTCAGCACAGGTCGTGCGGCACAGGCAGCCTCTGGACAGGACAGGGGTGACTAGGCTACCAGGGCCCTGCTGCACAGACCTGAGGGCTGGCCCGGGAGGGCAGGGGGTTGTGGCTGAGTTGATTCCAGGTTGACCAGAGCCCAGGTTCTGAGCAGCCATGCGGCAGAAGCGCCGTGGCTCTTGGCATCTGTGTTTCTCGTGTTTCCTGGTGGCTGCAGGATTTTTATTTCCCTTTCGTGGAACCAGCCTGGGCCCCTATGCAGCAAGGCCGCTGGTAAATGGTAGAACTCACCGGCCCACACTTTGACCCTGAATGATGACCCTGGGGTGCGCAGGGGGGTACCAGTGACTTGAGTAGCTCCAGGGCCAGGATTGTCGTTCTGGACTCAGTGCCACTCCCCTGTCTCCTCAGAGCCAGAATAAAGCCAAGCAGTGCAAGGAGTCAGCCACAGAGGCAGGTAGGTAGCCCTGGCCACCTCCCAGGCTGGCTGGCAGCCTGTCCAGTCCTTCCCTCAGCTGGTGCTCTGCTGCCTGCCAGCAGTGTCCCCTGCATGCCACTCGAGGCCATTTCTTGTCACTCTGCATGTTTCTTCCTTAGTCATTGCATGCAACACGAGGAAACTGAGGCATAGAGGTTAAAGCAAGCTGCCCAGTGTCACACAACCACCAAGTGGTGCTCACAGCATTTGAATCCAAGCCACTGGGGTTTCAGAGCCTCGGGGGCACACCCCTTCCTCTCTCTCACACACACACACAAAGGTTCACACTCAGCCTTCCCAAGGCCTGGCTCCTGTCTTTTACCTGATGCCAAGATCTGCTCACCATCCCCCCATCCCGGGTATGGCACCTCCTTCCTTCTGTTCCACCTCTCCGACACCTGCTGCTCCCTCAGTACACGCCAGATGACCAAATCCTAACTTCAGCTCGCACAACTGCTTGCAGAGGTGCCCTCTGCAAGCCTCAGTTTATCATCTGTAAAGGAGGGGATGGGACTGAACCTCTGCGCGTGCACTTCTGCTCCAGCCCTTGAGCTCAGCATAGTGGGGAACTGGAGAGTCGCCCTGAAAGGGCAGTATGGCCCCTGGAGAGGGGCCTCCCAGGGCTGCCCAAGAATCCCCTGTGCTTGTAGAGCGTGTGTACAGACAAAATATCGAGCAGCTGGAGAGAGCGAGGACTGAGTGGGAGCAGGAACACCGGACTACCTGTGAGGCAAGTGGCCCAGATGGGCAGCCTGCTCCTCCACACACAGCCCTCTTATCTGTGGGAAGCAGGGGCTGGGGCATGGCACTCCTTCATCCCACTTCCAGACACCTGCTTGGCTGCCTAAGGTCTGTCCCATACTCACTATCTGGCCTTGTGCCCTGGCCTCTCTGCCACAGGGATCTATTCCTCAGAAAGCCCAAACTGAGCTTAAGGCCCACCCTGGGCCCCCAAGGGTGGATTCTGCCCCAGGGCAGAACCCTGCGCCCTTCACTAGCCTCCCTCAGAACCCCTCCCAGGATAGGACTTGATGGAGATGCAGACAGGCATTCCTAACAGCCCCACCGCCCTCTAGCTGCCCCTAGCTAGTGGGGCAGCTAGACTTGGCTGCAGCAGAGTACTTTGAGTAGCTGAGCTGTGGGGCTGCCTGGCCTGGCCTCTCATTACTCTCCCTTTTCTCCCCAACAGGCCTTCCAGCTGCAGGAGTTTGACCGACTGACCATCCTCCGAAACGCCCTGTGGGTACACTGCAACCAGCTCTCCATGCAGTGTGTCAAGGATGATGAGGTGTGTGCTGTGAGGAGGGCAGCACAGCGAGGCCAGGTCTGCTGGGGCCAGCCAGCATAGCCCCAGACCTCTGCAGTTCAAAGAGGAGTCTGACAAGGCGTGTGGCCCAGCCTCCAAGCACAGGAAACCTGGTGCTTCTGCGGTTCTCTGCATCTGCCTTTTCCTACCTGAGCCCATCTACTCTCCACAACACAGCAGAGACTTTAGGGGCTGGAGGCCTCTCTGCTCCGGGCTTATGCTGGTGCAAGCCTGGTCTAGGTTCTCTTGTACCCCTCCCCCATCTCTCTCTCTCTCTCAGGGTCTCTGTCACCTTACAGAGCTGGCCAGGGTGCATCCTATCCCAGGTCAGGAGCCCTGGCTTCTGATCTCTCAGGGTACCCCTGGCCACTCCCGACCACAGGCTTAGCTGAGCCTTGCTGGCTTCCTCGTGGCAGCAGAAAGAGTGGGCTCTAGATACCCTCAGAGCCAAAGCCCAGCTTCACGCGGTGACCTTGGCGTGCCTCTTTCCTTGAGTTTCCTCATCTTAGAACAAGTCAAACCGTGGGCCTCTGAGGACAGGAGTGGGCTGGGGCTCTCCTTCAGGGAAACAAAGGCAGCCACCAGGTCTCAATTCACCTGGCAGGCCTGATATCTCAAGGTTCCGACTCAGAGGCAGGAGGACTACAGCAAGGCTGGGAATCAGGGCGACTATGGCGGGGGCAGATATTGGGGTGAAGCCTGAACACAGCTCTTGCTCATTCCCTACCCCCAGCTCTATGAGGAAGTACGCCTGACACTTGAAGGCTGCGATGTGGACAGCGACATCAACGGCTTCATCCAGTCCAAGAGCACTGGCAGAGAGCCCCCGGGTAAGGCCTAGCCTGAGGGTAGCTCAGTTTCCACAGCAAGGTCAGGTTGGCCCTAGACCTGGCCTGGGCTTTTTGGAACTGTGAATGGCAGGCTCAGGCTGGGATGACTCACACTTGCCTCTTGGGTAGAGATAAGCCAGGCAGAGGCAGAGGGGCAGCGTAGTTCTGCTCTTCCAAAGGATCCTTTCAGTTCCCAGCACCCACATCAGGCAGCTCACAGCCACCTGTAACTCCAGCTCCAGAGAATCCGACACCTCTGGCTTCCACATGAATCACATATATCTACACAGTTAAAATTAAAAAAATCTTTCTAAAAAATGGGGCAGGCACAGTAGGACATGCATTTTAATCGTAGCACTTGGGAGGCAGAGACAGGCAGACCTCTGAATTCGAGTTCTACATAGTGTCAGGACAGCCAGGATTACATAGAAGGACCCTGTGTTCAAACAAAAAATAATCATCCACTCAGTCTTGGTGATACCAGAATGGCTCCTCCAGGACCAGTCTGGGGACGTGAGTACAGTTGGGCCTGCCTTGCTGCTCTGGGCTCATGCATTTGCTCTCTGCAGCTCCCGTGCCCTATCAGAACTACTATGACCGGGAGGTGACGCCGCTGACCCCTAGTGTCCAACCCTCCTGCGGCATGATAAAGAGGTGAGGCACTGATGGACTGAACGTAGCCAGAGCACGCATGCTGGGGCCAGCCTGGGTTCTTCAGCATCTCACAGCTGAACAGACCTGTAGGCTGGTGCCCTGTTTAGGTGCTGGCCATTCCACTGAGATATTCCATGATCAAACTACCCCCAGGGAGCCAGCCCTCGGTCCAACAGGATCCAAGCATTAATCACTCCCACTCCCGCATTCACCCATGACTAGTCAGAGTCCTGGGCAAGCAGCCAGGCTGGCTTCCTTGTCGGTGTGGCCCTACCATGAGGCAGGTTAGTGTCATGACCATCAGGCACAGTGGTGCTGCTCTCCAGGTGGCTTATAAATGGCCCCAAACCCAGACATTAGAATTCACCAGTCACTTACAGGGCCACCTCCACTGCAGTCAGGTACCAAGGTCCTAGTTCTGTGCCCTGTGGGTGACCTGGTTTAGTCATCGTGGGCCCAAGGAAGAGTTGCTTAGCCCAAACTGCCTGGGTCTGGCAAGATGTATGGGAGTTGAACTTTGAAGACAGTTGCTGCTGCTTCTGCACAAAGCCTGGGGGGCCTCCAGTGGGATGGGGCCTGCTGGCTGCAGGCGTGACTGGCGTGTGAGTATGGGAGGATGCTTCTGAGAATGAAGGGACTCTCGGGACTGGCCTGCCGCCATGGAGGCGTAGGTGGCAGCAGGCTGGCAGAGGTCCTGGAGTGCTGAGAATTCCCAGCTAGTCCCTTGGCCTCCTCTCCACTTCCAGATTCTCTGGGCTGCTACATGGAAGTCCCAAAACCACATCTTTTCAAGCTTCTGCTGGTAAATGAGGGGGGAGCGGATAATGGGCTATGGGACATGTCTTCCCCCTAAGACCCCAGCAGGGAGGGGAGACTCCTACCTAGCATAGATGGAACACTAATGCCCTGAAGGGAAAAGGCATGCTGTCCAAGAGTGTAGATGAAGGTGGGATTGAGCCCACTGGCAGTCTCCAGGGACCACTGTTCTCAGAAGGGGGCAGGATTTGGGCCTCATCCCCTATCAGCTTCCACAGACTCTCTGGCTCCCACCCCTGAGCGGAACGAGCTGGTTTATGCAGCCATCGACGTGCAGGCAACACAGGCGAACCTTAACTCATCGGCCCAGGACTACCGGGCGCTCTACGACTACAAAGCACAGGTGAGGGCTTCCCCAGTACCCAGGAACACGCCTGTGGTGTGAGCACTTAGACCAGGGCTCAGAAGAGCTCAGTGAACAGCTGTCGAGCCAGTATCTGCTCAGATGTGCACATGTGGAGTCCACAAGGCTGGCAGCTCAGGGCTGCTGTGGATGGGTAACAGGTTAGAGATCAGGCCTTGCTTTCTAGCTCTGGACCCAGAGAACACAATGGCTAAAGTGAGCCCTTTAGCTGCCCTGGAACTGACTTTCTGACATCCTTGGAGAAAGGTGATCAGGGCGGCCACAGAGCCCCTGTGCTGAGAAGCGGTCAAGCACAAGCGGGCTAAGCGAGGTGTGTAGACCTGGAAGGCAGACCCTGAACTGAGGCCAGTATACCTACGCATGTAGCAGGCTGGGTGCAGGCTGCACTGAAGTTGCATTCAGGGGTAGAGGCCTGGACAGTAATGGGTGTGACAAATGCCCGAGAAGCTGCAGTGGTTGGAACAGTGAGAGAAGCCCAGGATAGCTCTCCAGGACACCCTAAGCAAGTCAGGGGGCCAAGTCCTGTGGGGAACCCTACGACCTGTCTGTCTCCAAAGGAGCTTCCCTGGAGGCGCGAGCATGACTCAGCAGACTGCTCTCCCTGGGAGACAAACATGCATGTCCTGCCGGCAGGGGGGCGGGGGGGGGGCTGCCAGACTAGAGCCCATCCAGGAGGTTCCCCTCCCATCTCACGCACTTGCCATTTCTTGCCCAGAATTCCGACGAGCTGGACATTTCTGCAGGAGACATTCTGGTGGTCATCCTAGAAGGAGAGGATGGCTGGTGGACAGTGGAGCGGAATGGACAGCGCGGCTTTGTCCCTGGCTCCTACCTGGAGAAGCTCTGAGGAAAGAGCAGCAGTCTCCACATACCTCTGCCCTGACTATGAGGTCAGGTCCATTCCCACCATGGCCCAGGCCTCTTGGGGCCAGAACCAAGCCTGGCCACCCTGGGGATGGGATGGGTGCTGGCTCCTCTCGATAAATTTCTTCCAGAGGGAATAAAGGGGCACATTCTTCTTTGCTGGAGTCCTTTTCTCTTACCCCAGTGTCCCGGGGCTCAATTCAGAAGCCAGAGTAGAGAGAGTCTGGGAGAACAGAGCTCTCCACTCACAGACAAGCCTTCAGCGGTAGTCAGTCTCAGCTGGGGACAGAGGAGAGGCCTCAAGCCGGGTACATGAAGCTCCCAGGCTGCCAGAACAACAGTCACATCTGGGACAGCCAGGATGATACGAGTGAGTGGGGCTGCAGAATGAGATCAGGCATCCTGTGGCAGGGAAATGGAACACAGCAGCAGCCAGGATGAGGCAAATGTGTGGCTATAGGACATGGGGACAAGGACACTGCTGGGGACAAGAAATAACTGGCGGGCCTAGTGGGAGGAGCACACTGGGAAGACAGGTTCATGGCGTACAGCCCCAAGTGCTGACACACACTCAGTCGTGTGTGCTGATTCTGTATCGTAGAAACCAGCTGTGAGCCTGTGGCTTTCTTGTTATACTGCCTGCTCTCCCACCCACCGGGCACTGGCATAAAGGCCTATCCATGTACCCAGGCAAATGTCAGAGCAAATACTGGTCTAGAGAAGGAGGTTGCTAAAAGGGGCTCCTGACTTTACCATCAATGTATTTTCACTCCCTGAGCTTCCTCCCTGGAGCAGAAAGGTGGGCCTAGTCAAGCAGGCCTGCCTGGTGACAAGGTTGGGCCTCCTTTGGGTTGTGGTCTCTCACCCACCTCAGGGCATTTTGCAGGCAGAGGTCCCAGGAGCAGCTCTCTGGAGCTGAGGAACAAACAGGCTAGCTGTTCTGAGTCAGCCATCACTGCGTCTTGGCAGATTATGTGGCAGACAGAATGGGAATGGGCTTTGAGCTACTGGAAAGAACAAGGCTGATGTTGACATCCTTCTGGAAATGTCATTTTCCTCATCATGAACATCTGTGAGGTGACCAAACACCACACCCACCTGTGACACACCAGATATGCACATAGGGATGTTTAGAGAGTGACTTAATCCAGGGCTTGGTCCCCTCCCATGAAGGACAACAAAGCTAGCAAATGAAGACTTGGCTATGACTGAGCTCCTTGGGCCAGAAAACCAAAGTGCCCTGACCACCCTTGTCCTACCCTGCCAGGCCCAACCAGACTCCTCACCTACTCAATCCAGATATTCTGGTGGTTCATTCCTGGAATGGGGTTGGTGCTCGCCAAGATGTCCCAACAGAGCTCAGTCTTCCAGAGGGCACATGGCAGCCAGTGAGGCTGAGGGTGAGGTAGGCCCCAATGTAGGCTGAAGGCTGCTCTGCAGAGAGGCATCTGGACCACAAAACTCTGCTGGACATAGAAATGGATGGGAACAGCAGTTTCTGGGGTGTGTGGGAGAGTGCAGAGAGATGGGTAAACTGATGTAGGCCTTTAGAGGTGGGCTGGGCTTTCCTAGGTGAAGCAGGGGCACCTGGAACAGGCAGAGCAACCAAGCAAACTGACTTCTAGATAGTGAAAAGGAAAGAGTGCAAAGTTCTCTATCAGAGATTTCTTTATTCTTAGAAAATACCTTGTCATCTTGATTGAGCATCCCATTCCACTGCAAAGATTTTTTAAAAAACCTTTGGCCTAGATATTTATCATCAACTCTGACAGGTACTGTGTGGGTGGGCCCCACTGGGTGATGGGTAAGCAGTATGAACTAACAGCCTGCTCTCCAGGCATCCAGAGGAAAGAACAGAAAACAAGGCAGAGTTGATACCAAGGGGAATAAGCTCACAAATAAATCCTAGTAAGTTTCACTGCATCTGCAGCTTGCCCGTCCTGTGTATAAGGTTGCAGTAACAGTGGCCAGGAACCAACTGCACACGGAGACAATGCCAGATGGAGGAGGAGCTGGCGTAACTGTATAAATAACTACAGCGCCTCCCTGTCAGAGGGCAGCTCAAAGAGCAGCAGAAGGAAGAATGTGGCCTCGTGTCAGAGCATCAGGGCCTGAAGCAGCTCAACAGTCTCAGGCCTCAATTAACTCTAAATACCCATCACCAGCAGAATGGGTACAGCAGGTCTTATGCAAGGTGTTACCTCAAACAGTTATTGGTCAGATGCTAGCTGAGAGAGAGGGGTTGCCACTTTTACTAGCCAGCCTACAGCCTCTGCATCCTGGCTCCAGGCAGCACCAGCAGCTCATTCAACGTGCTCTCTGGGACAGCCATGGTTGCCACCGAGTCCTTCATAGTGAAGACAGAAACAACCGCTACTGACCAGACAACATCAGCATTACTGGTGCTCAGCACCTGACTCCAACCCCTTTCCCCTAGCTGCTCCTGGGCCAAGCCAGCTCAGCATGACCTACGCCACATTCTGGCTACTTCCCATTGTGGCTCCTAGGTCCCCACACACATGGGGACTGTCCTCAGCGCCTCCAGCTTGGGATGTCAGGAACAGGGCTTTCCAACTGTGCTCAGCAGAGCCCACTGCAGGGCCATGAGAGGAAAAGCTGAGTCCTTCTCCAGCTGCACTCAAGGTTAAACACTGGACCAGCAACGCTGCTCGGTCCAGGCTGCTCAGCAGTGTCTGTGCACTGCAGCCTGTGTTCCTGACATTCTCCTGGCGATTCCAATGTGTAGTCAGGGTTAACGCGCCCTTCGGCTAGACTTCTCGCTCAAAGTTTGAAAAACACTCGATGGTACTACCCTGACTTGCCTCAGACCATGAGTGTCCACCCACTAGGTGCCAGGTGCTGAGGGTGCCTCTCCTGTTATAATTATGTCTCTGTTCTCACTGGATACACTCAGAGCACAGTCTGTATGATCACCTTCCCCACAGCTAGCAACAGCCCTACTGTCCTCTAGGAGTTAGTGGTAAACGCGGTGGTCCCTTTGGAGCGCCCTTAGGAGACCCCAAAGAAACCACAGGAGAAAGCCACAGAAAGCACAGCTGTTTTCAAGTGTGGCAAGGATGCTGGATTACGGGGTCAACGTTTAAAAAGCAGATGTTCCTCCACAGCAACTGCCCACTTGGAGAGGTAGCAGGAAACCAGAGAGGTCTCACAGAAGTTGCCTACGCAGTGTTAAGATCTGCAGAAAATAAAATAAACCTTATCAAACAACGCAAAGGACAGCGCTGGAGTTCAGGAGACACAAATGCTTAGCCACATTTTAAAAGCTCCTAAGACTGGCTAGCAGCCAGATCCACACTCTCCCCTACCATAACAGAAGCAAAGGCAGGCAACACCCTGAGGGTCAACAAGGGTGCGGGGAAATGCAGATTACATGCCTGGCCAGTGACGATATAAACTGCTATCATCTCTTTTTGGAAAGCAATGGGACACATCTGTGAAAAACTCAATGTCACCTTTTGGGGCACAGAATAAATTACAATTCTTACATGCGAAAGACTGACACCGGATGAAAACCGCTTTGAAACTAGGCTCGTGGTAGCTGTGCAGCTCTGATGTGGATTGTTGAAGCTGCTTTGTTTTATGCCACAGGAGTTATCAACTCAGAAGGCCTGCCAGCTGTCTATGTGACAGCAGTTTCCATCAACATCAGAGAGCGCATACACGATCACAAAGGAGCTGAAAACTTCCCATCACCTGGCCACGTCACGGCAGTCCTACCACCATTTGTGGTGCTGCTGGTCTCTGGGTGCCAGTTCAGCAGAGCACAGCTGTGCATAGAACACACCAGAGAGACGGGAGCACTACAGGCTTGTGTATTCATTGTACTGTACTGTGTGGTCGCTGTTCTGTGTGGCACTGCTGACTACAGCTAGGCACTGCCTATGCTAGGCAAGTGTCCTGCCACTGAGACCCTTCAAAAAAAAAAAAGAATGAGTCCCTTTAAACAAACAAAAAAACCATTTTCTATTTACTTGTGTGAGAGGGGCAGAACACACGCATGCGCGTGCAGGTGGGCCTGGAGCTAGGATTACAGGCAGCCACGAGTGGCTGATGTGGCTTGTCTGAGTGCTCAAACGCTTAGCTGCTGATCCATCTCTCCAGGGCCTCAAGCCTTCCGTTTACTTTTTGAGACAGGGTCTCATGAAGTTGCATAACTGCCACTCAACTCACTCTGCAGTCTAGGCAGGCCCTGACCTTGCAATCCTCCTGCCTCAGATTCCAAAGCGGCAGAATTACAGGGACTGTACTACCAGGCCTGATCTTTAGGATTACTTCTTATCATCCGTACGCCTTCATTTGTTAAAGCAAGCGGCCAGGACTGGTGGCATAAACCTGTAACCCAGCTCTCAGGAAGGAGGGAGGCTCATGCAAGTCTGAGGGCAGCCAGGGCTGTGTAGTGAGTTTAGTCAAGACTTGTCTCCTGCACCGTGCAACACCAGCAGAAGCTTCATGTGTGAACCTACTTGCCCAACCACTTGCGCTTGCACAATGAAATTAACGCGGCTCTCAGAATCACGTTTCTTAGAACACACTCTTGCTGAGAAGCCATGTGTGACTCTCACCACAGCAAAGCTGGACAATCCACCACTGGGAACAGCGGTTAACCACGTTCTGAGACAACCACGATGCTAGCACAAGTACCTGGCAGATCTCCAGGCCAGCTTAAGATACCATGTTATGCCATGGGAGGACAGGGACATTCTTAGAGAACAAAGTTCATGTAAGAGCAAACAAAACCAAAGTGGAAGCTCGTGCCCATGCTGCTTCTGTTCCTGTTCTTTGGACAGACGGATCTCTCTTGCTTGGGGAACACTGTTCTTTATAAACTTATTACATTTTTTAAAGGTACCAATAAGCTTCTGTTAATTTTTTTTGTTAAGGCAAAAGCTTTGTCAACTCAGTAGCAGCAGCAGGAGGACCATGGCTCCCCAGGCCTCCTCCTCACAGGGTCTTGAGGGTAGTACTCATTTTTACAGGGCTGCTTCAGAGTTCTCTTCTTCTTCCTTCCAGTAAGCCACCCTTACAGAGCAAACAGTTTAAATGTTCCTGCACATACCATCTCCTTACCAGACCAGCAGCTCACAGTGAGCTTCACGGGCAGTGGGCTGTGGAGACAT